GCTAAAAAAAAAAAAAAAAAAAGTCCTGTGTTAATGTTTGCTCATTTTCCAAGAGGAGAGTGTTTATTTGAGGCCAAATAAACACTACTGCTTAAGTTATAAGGCAGACATTCTGTTACATTTTGGCCTTAATAATGTCACTCTAAAAAATGGAAACAATTCTTCTGGACTGTGGTTATAACCTTGAGACAAACAGTTACCAGAACTCCCTGGATGGGAACTGCTGAGGCCACTCCAGTGGCATCAAAACAGTCTTAAAGCAGGGTGGGAAGCTGTTTAATGAAAGCACCAACGAAAGTCAGTTTTGTCTGAATACCAAGCCTATGAGGTGCCTTTTGCTGAAGAACCGGCGTTGCCTGCAGTCCTCACTTCCGTAAGGGTCTTCCCAAGAGGTTCGAACATCTAATTAACCCCCTTCGTCCTGATGGCCACAGCACACGGGGCCCTGGCTGAGGGTGCCTGCAACTGCGTCACGGTATGCTGTCAAGTGTGCTCACACCAGAGCCCCATGTGAAGGTGGAAAAGCATCAGACGCCACCAGTCTGCCAACTCCAAGATTTCAGCCAAACACACAGAGATAAATAACCTCACTGACTCCACACACAGCAGCTATCTCCAAGAGCACAAACAGCTGAAGTACGGACAGAATCATGAGCACAGCCGCCGAAACGAACACGTAGTTTAACAGCTGGTGTTTTTAAATTAAAATTCTCTCAGAAAGAGATGACTGAATTACTTGTATGACTACCAAGTATTTTATCTAAGGGTTTACAAAACCAAACTGGGGGCCGGTGTTGTGCCACAGCTGGTTAAGGTACCATCTGCAGTGCAGGCATCCAACAACAGCTGCGGGTTCAAGTCCCGGCTGCTCCACTTCAGATCCAGCTTCCCGCTAATGCACCTGGGAAAGAAGCAGAAGATGGCCCAAGTGTTTGGGCCCCTGCACCCACAGGAGAGCTAGATGGAGCTCCTGGCTCTGGCCTGGCCCAGCCCTGGCTGTTGCAGTCATTAGGGGAGTGAACTGGCAGATGGATGATCTCTCTCTCTCTCTAATTCTGATGTTCAAATTAAATAAATAAATCTTAAAGACAAAAATAGTCATAAAAAAAGCCAAACTGGATATTTTGACCAATTGCCTTTAAAATGTGGGATTGAAATATAAGAAAAAGGGGAGTGCTTTAGTCCCTTCCACAAACAGATCTGCACAGTGATGGCTAAGGCAGGCACGTGGCATTAACAACCACGGTAAACATCTTCAACCGCAGTCGAAGGCTTCCACGTATACAGGGATTTTCAAATTGTTGAGGTGGCCTGGTTAAAAAGGACTTATGGCAAAACAGACTGCTTTCACTGCGACTCTCGGTCCCACTCAAATGGAAAATTTAATCTGATTTCCCCAGACTACTAAAAACAAAACAACTGTGCCATGCAAGGAAAGACAATGGAACTGGAAAGTTCCTTCCCGCTTCCCCACTTCCAGGACAAACGCACTCTGTTTGCTTTCCACAGACTGTGAGGAAGCAGACAAAGGACGCCCAGAGGAGGAGATGGGTCTGCAATTAATATGCCATTTTGCCTCATCTGTGAAATTGTTTCCTAACTCTGGATTGCACAAGCAAAACGAAATTATTCACTACCAGAGAGGCAAGAGAGTGTGTGAAAGAAATGACACACATTTTCTCAAACTAGCTTCGTGGGGAAAACTGCCTGTTGTTCACGTCTGAGCGAGTGCTCCACACTTCGTGTTACGGAATGCTAAAGATAACTCAAATCACCAAGCAGAAAAAAATGCCTCCTAGCAAAGGTGACACAAACGTATCAAATAATTTCCTATGCACCACCAAGGTCCCATTCCAGGATCCCAAACAATAACAAATACTAGGCCAAAGTTCAGCAACCACATGAAGTATGGCAGGGATAAGTTTTTTTTTTACATCGGACTGTTGACAAGAAATTCCTTTGGAAACAAATCTAAAAGTTCAGGGATTATCTCTGGTGTTGGCAGTAAGATTCATTAGCATCCCAAAAAGGACATTTTAAGGGTGTTTATTATCCACACAATGAAAATTAATGAAATACTATTCAATCTCAGGTTGGAAATTTTTCAGGAAGTAAGCTATCAAGCACACATTTTATCCCAAAATAAAAAAATAAGACAAAGTGTTTCTAGTAAAAGGGGATGAGGCAAAAATTCCTCATCTAGGGCTGGCGCTACAGCTCACTTGACTAATCCTCTGCCTGCGGCGCCGGTACACCGGGTTCTAGTCCCGGTCGGGGCACCAGATTCTGTCCCGGTTGCCCCTCTTCCAGTCCAGCTCTCTGCTGTGGTCCGGGAAGACAGTGGAGGATGGCCCAAGTGCTTGGGCCCTGCACCCCATGGGAGACCAGGAGGAAGCACTTGGCTCCTGGCTTCGGATCAGTGCAGCGCTGGCCGTAGCGGCCATTTGGGGGGTGAACCAACGGCAAAGGAAGACCTTTCTCTCTGTCTCTCTCTCTCACTGTCCACTCTGCCTGTCAAAAAAAATAAAAATAAAAATAAAAATAAAAATAAAAATAAAAATAAATGCCTCGTCTAGTATGTGAGGGAAAGCTGTCCTGGTTTGTTCTCTGAAGCTCATGACAATACAACCGATGGCAGAGTGGCCTCTCAGGAGCCACACAGCCAGGGTGTATACGGGAACACTCTGGACGCTACACAGGCCGGCAGGGCTCTCTCTGCTTGGTCTCAGGACCCATCAGGGTGCCACAGCGTAAGGCGGGTTCTGAAAGCAGCCCGCAGAGTCACAAGTGCCCTGCCCATGCGTGACAGGTGTACGTTACTGCAAACAAAGAGCTCAGGCGTTGTGATGCAGCTGGTAAAGCTGTTGCCTGAGATGCCAGCATCCTGTATGGCTGCCAGTTCGAGTCTTGGCTGCTCCACTTCTGGTTCAGCTCCCTGCTAATGAAAAGCAGTGGAGGGTGCCTCAAGTACTTGGGCCCCTGCCACCCATGTGGGAGACCTGGATGAAGCTCTTGGGTTCGGCTTGGCCCAGCCCTGGCCGTTGTGGCCACCTGGGGAATCAACTATCAGATGGAAGATCTCTCTCTCACTCTCTGTAACTCTTTCAAAATAAATAAATAAATACATCTTTTTAATTTAAAACAAAGGAGCTCAGTTACTCAATCTCAGCCAGTCTGACAAGTACCAACAACAGCCTGCTGAGTGGTCTCTGTGGGGTCTTTAAATAGTTTATGAAAAAAGCACATGATGAAAAAACCATGCATGAATTCCAAATATTTTCACACCCAAAGAAACTTATCTTTTAAAAATTCTTGGAACCCCATGGCCACTCAAAAAAGCAGAGTATTTGGTTAATCTTTAAAAGCTCTGGATTTTTTTTTTCTTGTAGGTTAGGCAACTTTTCTCTGACTTCTTAAAAACACTTGCACTGGAAACCGTCTCTGAAGCAGCTCTTTCGCTGCTCAAATCATTTCTCCCTTCAGTGTGTACTGTGACCTGCTAACATACATTTTCACTGCTAACATCCTTTTAAGAAGGTAATGACCGAAACAGACGCACATGAGGAAGGCTGGAGTCAGGAACAGAACAGCAGTGTTCTGGGCTGAGTGCTGCCTGGGGAGGGCGTCCACACGACCAGGGCAGCCCTGCCAGGGCTCCCACGGCTCCTTATAAGGCTCTGCTGGCCACTGGCACCACAGTTTCTGGCTCTAAATTACACTCTTATTTTAGTTCTGACTCAGGCTGGGCTATCTCACCAACACTGACCTTCAGCGAGTCACACTGGCAGAGGAAGTCAGTGGGAGTTTTTATTTTATGACTAAGCTCAATGTGAGGTCTGCTTTGCTCAATGATAAGGTTAAAAAAAAAAAAAAACACAAGAATTTCAACTTGGAAGGACAAAGAAAACCCTTTTGAATTCAAACTTGCATGCCTTTTTTTTTTAAAATCATTATTATTTCTGAAATATAGAGATAGGCAGAGAGAGACAGAATCTCTCATCTACTGGTTCACTCCCCAGATGCCCACAACAGTGGGAGTTGGGCCAGGAGAAAGCCAGGAGCTGGGGACTCAACCTGGGCCTCTGAGTGGGTGTCAGGAACCAAGCCGCTGCCCCCAGGTGCAGCAGTAACCGGAAGCTGGAATGGTAGCAGGGCCAAGGCTCCAAACCAGGGGACACTGGGACACGGACTGCCAACGTCCCACGCAGCAGCTTAACTGTTAGGCCAACATCCCCCTGGGCAAGGAACTGAAAAAGAAAAAAATTTTTTTGCCAAACTGAAAATGGTTTCCTCTGTTTCCTTAAGGTTTGATGAAGTGTACACAGAATGCAAGAAATTAAGTACGAGCCGGCGCCGTGGCTCAATAGGCTAATCCTCCACCTTGCGGCGCCGGCACACCGGGTTCTAGTCCCGGTTGGGGCGCCGGATTCTGTCCCGGTTGCCCCTCTTCCAGGCCAGCTCTCTGCTATGGCCAGGGAGTGCAGTGGAGGATGGCCCAGGTGCTTGGGCCCTGCACCCCATGGGAGACCAGGAAAAGCACCTGGCTCCTGGCTCCTGCCATCGGATCAGCGCGGTGCGCCGGCTGCAGCGGCGGCCATTGGAGGGTGATCCAACGGCAAAGGAAGACCTTTCTCTCTGTCTCTCTCTCTCACTGTCCACTCTGCCTGTCAAAAAAAAAAAAAAAAAGAAAGAAATTAAGTACGAGGTAGATCTCGCTCAAGTGCGAAGAGAGGCGGGAAGGGCAGGGCGGGGAGGCTCCCACTCCGCCCACCGCGGCCCCGAGGGCGCTGAACGCCCTGGCTGTCCTCCAGCAGAACTCTGTACCTCCCCTCCTCCTGCCGGGAGCTCAGCATCCTACCACGAACGAGGTTCGGCCTCGGAGGCAGGCCAAAGGGCTGAGGAGGAGGCCCTGCTCAGTCCCCGAGCAGGGACAGGTGCGTCCCAGCTGCGCCGCCGTCTCACGCGCCGGTGGCGGCGGCGGCCAGCAGAGGGCGCTGCACGGACGCTGTGGGAGGAAGCGGCTGCTTAGGGCGAGGGCTGCCCACCAGCTCGCGCCCGCGGCACCCACAGCGTGTCGTTATCGTTATCGTTATCGGCTGCTGGGGCAGGGCAGTCGGCACGCCCACCGCCTTGGCAGTTCTGTATGGAGGTGCCTCGGGTCTCTGGCATCCTGGAGGGAAGATTTCCAGCAAGCTGGGCCTGGGACCTCTCTGCCATTGGGGGGGTGGGGGTGGGAAGGAGGGGCAGGAAGGGTGGGCTCCAAGTCAGCCCTTGGGCTAATGGCTGCTCCTGGCAGCGGCTACTCCTGTAACTCTTGTTTTTCTTTCTTTCTTTTTTTTTTTTTTAAGAAAATTATTCATGTATTTGAAAGCGTGACAAGAGAGATCAAGATCTTCCAGCTGTGGCGGCTCAATGTGTTGTACCACAATACCTACCCCTGCTTTTTCTTTCCTAATAATCGAAGCTCCAACTACGCCAGCGCCCAGTAGAGTTAATTCTTTCAATCTTTACATTAAATCGTCACTGTTTAAATTACTGTGTGCATTTTCCTTCCTGATTGGATTCAGACCAACCGAGGCGGCCAGGCCTCAGCGGCTGAGTTGTTAGTTTGTGGGCCCTCGTCCACCAGGAGGCACACGTGTCTCTTAGCAACTTCAAACACCTGTATTTGCCTTTGAACCTAGAGAGGGATGGGGAATTACTGCAGGGTCAGAGTGAAGGAGCCTGAGACCTCAGCAAGCTCCCAGAGCCCACGAGGCAGTGGCCAGCCTCGGACGCCTGGGTCGAGCGCCCCACCCCGCACACCTGGCTGCGGCACCATTGTTGCGCCCCGCTCCTGCCGCGTTACTACTCCTGGAGTACAAGCACAAGGAAGCAGCAGCTTTCGCCCTCGGGGTATCGGGTGAACCAGACCTCGGGCACTGCAGGTGTGCCTAGCCTCCCCCCAGGGCTGTGGTCAGACAAGGGCCAAGGTCAGAAAGCACAGCTTGGGGCAGGGTGGGGGGTGGCTAAAGGCTCTGGCAGGGCTGGTGGGCTGGCTTCACGCACACACCAAGGGGGCAGCGTCCTACAGCGAGCGGCTTCTGTGTTTTCTGAGGGAATCTGGCAAAACCAACACGGTTAAGCCTGAACCCTTTCTATTACAAAACTCTTCCCTTTCCTGCTCATCTCCCTCTCCCAATCCCCACAGACAGAAAAACTAAACTGAACGGTGGGCTGCGTGCAAGGTGGAGCTGCTACCGCAGAGAGCAGAAAGCGGCCCCTTCCCTTTACAGACAGCCTGGGAGAAGGAGAGGCCACCCCGTACAGAGCAGCGACTAGGCTGACGGCACCAGAGCCCTGCTCCGCTCACAAACCACCTCCAGTCCTGCAGGGGTCCCTGAGCACCAATTCCCACCCCCACTACAGACACAGGAAGTACTGTTTCTAAACAACAGTGTGCAGGCAAGAAGCAGGAGGAAGCTGGGAGCCAGACCACCACCAGGGATCTCAGGGAGATGGCAGACGCTGTGTGCATGTGTGCGCACACGCGTGTGTGTGTGCATGCGTGTGTGTGTGCGTGTGTGCTTGTGTGTGTACCTCAACATTTAATTACCCAATGATGTAAATGAAACAAATCTTCCTGGCCATAGGGCAGAAAACTCCTTGTTCTAATCCTTTTACAAACACAACTGTCGCCAGAGACTTTAGCGCAGTACAGCAAACGTGATCTCCAACAACTCTGGGCCCAGCCAGTCCTTTGAAGGACACCTTAAACCACACATCAGTAAAAGCTAACACATAACAATATCCTTCATGGTTGTTGATAAATAATAAAGCAAAAATGTAACTAAACCTAATTTAGTATGAGGCCAAATTACTACTCTGGGCAAATATAGAGAAAACAAAATAACAATTTTCAAAAAGCTTAGGCTCTATTAAGAAAGCGAGTCAAATGACAGGAATACTGAGAATGGTTCACATAGCCCAGGAAGGCCATACAGAGTAAATGTAAGGAAAAGAGGCATAAAGCCCTCTAGAATGATAGCATCTGCATCGATAATATCAAGCCAAGCACTTAATCTTATTGACAAATTCCAGTTGGTTTACTCTCCCATGGATGACAACATTCTTATCCACTAGAAACCAATGACCACATGACAATTTCAAGTGACGGTTCTATTTTTAGGCAAACCAATCAGATATGAAGGAAATATATCTATGTTTAAAGGGTGAATGAAGAAAGTACCACGAAATCAATTACTAAAAGTGAGAAGAGAGGCCGGCGCTGTGGCACAGGGTTAAAGCCCTGGTCTGAAGTGCTGGCATCCCATATGGGTGCTGGTTCTAGTCCCGGCTGCTCCTCTTCCGATACAGCTCCCTGCTATGGCCTGGGAAAGCAGTAGAGCATGTCCCAAGTCCTTGGATCCCTGCACCCACGTGGGAGACCCGGAAGAAGCTCCTGGCTCCTGGCTTCAGCCCAGCTCCAGCTATTGCGGTCATCTGGGGAGTGAACCGGCAGGTGAAGACCTCTCTCTCTGTTTCTATCTCTCGCTAACTCTTTCAAATAAATAAAATAAATCTAAAAAAAAAAAAAAAGTGAGGAGAAAGAATAGCAAGCAAAAAGGCAAACCCATGATTTTACATTGCTGTCCTGATCCAACATGACAGTCCTAGGAGATGCTCGGTGCTTCCTGGAGCAGATGGGGAGGGGGCGGGGAACTTAGCCAGAGCACTTTATTAACCTGAGCAGTAATATAAAAACAATATTGCAATGGCTCACGGGGCAGCGTCAGTGCTTTCTCATCTAGAATCGATGTGTATTCTTGCTGTGCACGTATAGATTGGCTCTAAGTAAACTGCTTATATAAACAGACTTTAAAAGATCAATTTACCTTCCTCTTTCATATTTCCATCTAAATTTAGGCAACCTGAGTCAGGATTGTAGTGCCCGGGGCCACCATCCCAGGGGATCACACACAGCGCTACAGAAGCCACGGTCGAGCCATTCTTCACAATGGTTCTCAAGTCCTGTCTGCGTTCCCTCTTACACTTTCAAAGCCGAGGAGGCAGAGAAAGAAGACAGAAGGCTTCTCTCCGGCTCATTTCCCATTCCCTCGTTCCCTATGGTCTGGCACTGCCTGATAAAAGAACAAACTGTTCAGAACCACGGAACTCGGAGCACTTGAGACCATGGGCTTTCCCTCACTTTTCATCACCTTTCTGAGAAGAGTCAATTACTAAGTGGTGAACCAAGACACGGGGCTGGTGTTTGACCACCCCAGACTCCTCACAGCTATCTTCCATGTCCCACATTCTCTGAGCCAAGTTCACCTTTTCTAAAGAAACTGTCTTTTTTTTTTTTTTAAGATTTATTTATTTGAAAGGCAGAGTTACAAGAGAGAGGGAGAGTTAGAGATAAAGAGAGAGAGATATCTTCCATCTGCTAGTTCACTTCCCAAATGGCTGCAATGGCAGGGGCTGGGGCCAGGCCAAAGCTAGGAGCCTGGAGCTCCATCTGGGTCTCCCACGTAGGTGCAGGGGTCCAAGTACTTGGGCCATTTTCTGTTGCTTTCCCAGGTGCATTAGCAGGGCGCAAGACTGGAAGTAGAACAGCCAGATTTTGAACTGGTGCTCATACCCTGTGCTGACATGACAGACAGCAGCTTAACCCACTGCAGCACCACAACATGGGTCTTAGAAAGCAAACAAATCCATTGTCTTACAAAGCAAACAAATCCATTTCTGCTCTAGTAAGAGCAGTAAGATAATGCTTAATTTAAAAAAAAATTTTTTTTTTTTTTGACAGGCAGATTTGACACTGAGAGAGAGAGACAGAGAGAAAGGTCTTCCTTTTCCGTTGGTTCACCCCCCAAATGGCCGCTACGGCCGGCGTGCTGCGGCCGGCGCACCGCGCTGAGCTGATCTGAAGCCAGGAGCCAGGTGCTTCCTCCTGGTCTCCCATGTGGGTGTTCAATTTTTTAAAAATTTTATTTATTTATTTGAGAGATAGAGTTACAAAGAGAGGGAGAGGTTGCTGGCGCTGTGGTGCAGTGGGTTAATGCCCTGGCCTGAAGCACCAGCATCCCATATGGGTGCCAGTTCAAGTCCCGGCTGCTCCACTTCCCATCCAGCTCTCTGCTATGGTCTGGGAAAGCAGTAGAAGATGGCCCACATGCTGGGGCCCCTGCACCCACGTGGAAGGCCCAGAAGAAGCTCCTGGCTCCTGGCTTCGGATCGGCGCAGCTCAGGTTGTTGCAGCAACCTGGGGAGTGAACCAGTGGACAGAAGACCTCTCTCCCTCTGCCTCTCCTCTCTCTCTGTAACTCTGACTTTCAAATAAATAAATAAATACAGAGAGGTTGAGAGAGGCCAAAGCTCCCACAGTTCCCCTTCAATATGCTCCATGAGCTCGTGCAAGGCCGAAGGAGATGAAATGTCGAACCAGTATAGTAATCAACTACTCCTTTCCTGGAATTCTCAAGTCGGGAATTGCTATTAAACTCAGATTTGTACGTTTTTGGTCTGTTTCTGTGACAGAAGCTCTAAAAAGGGTGATTGGTTTTCAGAAATGTGGATATAATTTAGCTGTTTCTATTATGAGTGAACGTTAACTCACTGGTAGTTGACTCCGTCTCCTATCTTAAAACCCACTAACCAGCCTCTCCCCCTCCTCCCCCCCTCCCTCCCCCTAGAGTTAGCACTTCAGTATCAAATATTGAACTAAAGCTTCAAGAGGATGTTTTTACATGCTCTCATCACAAAGAAATGACAACAGTAGGAGGTAAACAAGATGCTACATACCTGGAAATGATTGTATGCAAGGTGTATCGCATAAGACATACATATCTGCCTCATAAATATGTGCAATTATGCATCACCTAAAAACATCCACCAGTCTTCATTTCCTCTTGTTCCTTACATATATCTCAGAAGACAATCCCAGGTGCATTTGCAGAGAATTCAAACTTTTGCAAACAATTGCACTGTTCTTTTTTCCACTCAAACATAGCTGAAACATTAAAAACTAGAACCCCACAGGTAAGCTATGATTCATTTCTAGTTCCATGCATACTAATATTTGTTTCCTATACTGTGGCTATTTTTTGCTCCCATTGCCTCTAAGCAATCAGAACACTAACAATAAAATACACCATTTCATCTCAATACTATTCGACAATGCCTTCTTTTAAACAGTTTTTTTTTTTTAAGATACTTATTTGAAAGGCAGAGAGAGGGAGAAACACACACACACACACATCTTTCATCTGCTGGTTCACTCCCCAGATGGCAGCAACAGCCAAGGCTGAGCCTGTCCAAAGCCAGGAGCTTCCTTCAGGTCTCCTACATGGGTGCAGGGGTCCAAGCCCTTGGTCCGTCCTCTGCTACCTTCCCAGGCACTTTAGCAGGAAGCTGGATTGGAAGCAGAGCAGCCAGAACTTGAACCGGTACCCACATGGGATGCTGGCGTCACAGGGGTAGCTTCACCCGCTAGGCCACAATGCTGTCCCTTGAATAGTTGTACAGCAACTGCCAATACAGAGCTGTACGGA